CTCTCTCTCTCTCTCTCTCTCTCTCTCTCTCTCTCTCTCTCTCTCTCTCTCTCTCTCTCTCTCTCTCTCTCTCTCTCTCTCTCTCTCCCCCCCCTTCTTCTCTCTTTCTCTCTCTTAGTCTCTTCGCGTGTTTACTCTCCGTGTGATGTGTATTTGCAACATCTCGATCATCTCAAGGAAAGAGGTTCATCTCTATCCCACAAATGATCTCTCACTACTCAATCTATGTTGCTCCTCTTTCTACAAGTCAACGCTCCTCGAGAGTCCTCACACTTGACAGATTGCTCTTCCGTCGCAACCGACCGCTCTGTCGCCTTCACCTACGGTAACCTGTCTATTACATCAAAATGACATCTTTCATTCACAATCTGACTGATGGCATAATTGGAATTATCCTCCTCTTGATCATGCCCAGAGCATTCTGAAGTAGGATATGGCAGAGTAGTCATTTTTCAATCATTTTGTTTATTATACATCGGCAGCATGCTTGTGCTGGTGCTGGTGCTGCTGTATTGATTTCAGTATCGGAGACACTGAAACACCTCGCTCGCCTGTCCAAATCAGAAAGGATCCACGGAACCTACACGAGTCACGACATGCCTGGCATTGTTTCATTGCCTGAAGCTATTTATAGAAACTCCTCACCTATCTACATGACTGTCACTGCGCTAGGCACATGGACAAGAACTGCCTAGCTCAGTTGGATGGAGTCCACTCCAAGGACATGCTGTTGGTGCGCACAGCACACTTCCGATTGTTTTCGCAACGCAACGATAGAAGAACCATCTCCCCCAAGGATAGGATTCTCCCAGGGCATACTCACACTAGGGACTTTCTTGGATGTACGTGGCCCGCTCTTCCAAAACGGCCTGGACGAACCTGACCGCAATTGCGTCCACAGAGAAGTGGAAAAAAGTCCTTGTGAGTATGCCCTCATCCAGCGTAGATCTCTCCTGAACGAGCCCTCGTCAGCGTAGATCTCTCCTGAATGAGCCCTCATCCAGCACGGATCGCTCCTGAATTGCACATAAAGCGAAACTGATGATAATCTTCTGAGCCTATGACTGTCCACAGCTGACCCCCTCTCCAAATAACCAACCATGGCTCATTTAAGATTAATTTGTAGCTCATGGGTATGAGACAACACCTGCAGGGGGGTGGTCCATCCAACAGCAGAGGTTTGAATGACCCCCAACCTCCTCCTCCTCCTCCTCCTCCTCCTCCTCCTCATCCTCCTCATCCTCCTCGTTCTAAAGGGGGGTCCTTTTTCAAGTGGCGCTCACGCAACTTAGCAGCACAGGATATCGGTCGTAGCATCCACGGCTGTTCTATCCACACACTGTATCATCGACATGCCGAGCGGCATGGAATGCAGGGATGGACATCTCTGCATTTCAGCTGCTGCCTCGTCTCGTCATCATGTGTCACGAGTTTCAACAGCAAGAGTTAGATACTGCCATTCTGAATTTCTCTGTTCCGTCGGGCCTCCGTTGCCGGCAGGATTGTCAAGATGATCCACATAGCGAAGCTTCAGACCGCGAGCTAATCCTGCAAGACCCTCTACTAGACGGAAGAGGGTTGTCCACCATCTCTGTTCCGAGACTCCACTTCTCTGCAGTTCCTCGCGCAGCGCCTCATTGTGCTCCCCGCGCAGAACTCGCCGCAGCGTCCCGGCCGCCTCATGCACGCTCATCAGCAAAGGGATCTCCGATTCATCTTGCACCCCGGACGCCATCTGCTGCAGATCGTTGTGCGATGCGCTGAGCGTCATTCCCAGAGCCCACTTCGTCGCGCGAATCCAGCGCTGAGCGACCGCTGCTTCGTGAGCCCATTTTTGCTCAACTCCATTTGCTTGGCCAGTCATTTGCTGCTGAATGTCAACGTCCCCGGTCGCCACTCCGTAAAGGTACTGCGCGTTCGCCGAACCCGTGCTCTTCACCAGCGAGGCGAAAGCACCGTCCTCTTTCTTCAGCAGTCTGATCGGCGTGTCGTACTCCAGCGCCTTGCCGTCATCCATCACCAGGATGCGGTCGCTGTCAACTATTGTGTTGATCCTATGCGCAATTGTCAGCATCGTGCAGTTCTTGAATTCTTCCCTGATCGTCTTCTGAATGAGCGCATCTGTGCCGACGTCAACCGAGGCCGTCGCCTCGTCCAGCACCAGGATCTTCGACCGCCGGAGAAGAGCCCGCGCTAAGCTCAGCAACTGCCTCTGCCCCACACTGAAATTGTCCCCGGAATCCTTCACCACTGTGTCAAGCCCATTTTCAGACCGGCTGATGACCTCTTTCAGATGAGCCCGCTCGAGGGCTTCCCACAGGTCTCTGTCCTTATGCTCGTCGAACGGATCGAGGTTGAATCTGATGGTGCCTGAGAACAGAACGGGACTCTGAGGAATGATGCTGAGGGCCTTGCGAAGATCGGCGACGCCGAACTGCGAGATGTCGGACCCGTCGATCAAAATACGTCCAGAGCTGAGCTCCACGATGCGAAACAAGGCGTTGAAAAGGCTGGACTTGCCAGCACCCGTTCGTCCCACCACTCCAATCTTCTCCGTCGGTTTCACTGCAATCGTCAACCCTTTCAAAACGGGCGGCAGGTCTTCTCTGTACCTCATCCAGACATTATCGAACAAAATCGCTCCCTGAAACGGCCAATCGCTCGACGGTCTATGATTTGGGATCACTCTTTCGGCCTCGGGCTTGAGGTCGATGTACGTTCCGACTCTCTCCACAGCATTCAAACTGTTCTCCGCCATGCTTGCGAGTCGCAGAGTCATCGTCATGAGGGAGGTAATCGAAAGCGCGTAGCTGAGAACCAGACCGATCTGTGGAGCAGCTGCCGATTTGTCTTCGGCGTGCGCATTGTCCATGACAGCAAACACGCCTGTCACAAGAATCATCAGCCCACCAAGGAACTCCAGCCGGATGGAAAGCCATCGGTTTGCGCTCATGTTAACGAGGGTGAAGCGCACATTGGTGTCGACGGCCTGCGCGCTGGCTCTCGACAACCGGCTATGCGCCCTGTACGCTCGAATCGTTGCAAGCCCATTCAGAGCCTCACTGAACTGGGCATATACCGGCGATCTGGTGATTGAATCCAGCCTCTTCACTTCCCGGGCGGTGCTCTGGAAGTAGAGGTACACCATGCAGAACACCGCAAGCAGAGGGATGAAGCAGATCAGCGTGTACGGTGTCAGGACTCCGATCAACAGGAACGTTGACGACAACTGAAAAATGCCTGTGAGAGAGAGGTTCAGAGCAGTTGCTATGCTTCTGTCCATGTCCGCTACGTCTTTGGAGAAGCGGTTCATGATCCTTCCCAGCGGATTGGTATGGAAGAAGGACATGGGAACGAAGAGGACGCTTCCGAGCATTCCCTCGTGGAGCCGTTTGGTGGCACGCAGGCTTCCGATGACCACTTGGAATTGCTTTGAGAACTGAAACAGAACCTGGCAAAGCGAGATGACCGCATAGACGCCAATATAATAAAAGGCGCTGTGAAGTGCTCGTGCTCCTGCGCCAGACCATTTGGTGAGCCACAGACTGCTTCCGACTCTGCTTATCTCTATGAAAACATAACTAAGTATCAGGAAGGTAATGACAAAAAACCCACCCATTGCAGAAATGTACCGACCTACGACCGCCCGACGAACTATGCCCATCTCCCGCTCTTCCTCCTGTACAAGAGCAGTTCCACCCCTTTTTCTCCCTCCTCCCCCTCCCCCTCCCCCTCCACTGTTGGGTGCAGTGCTGGTGGTCTCTGGCAGCGACTGAATCTGTTCTTTCTGCCCCTTCCCCTTTGCTGTTGCTGGGCTACCTCCTTCTGTCCTTCCTTCGTCTTTCTGTGGTCCGTCCTCCTCCTCACTGTCAAGGCTCCCTGCCTTTTCCATCAACTTTGCCCAGTGTGCCCCTCCACTACTCCTCAGTCTCTCATATGTCCCTGCTTCCACTATTCTCCCTTCATAAACCACCACAATGCTATCCACATGGGGCAAAAAGTGCAATTGATTGGTCACCAGAACCCGTGTCTTATCGGCCAACGTGCCCTTGATACACAGATCGAAGACCTGTCGTGCCACGTGCGAGTCCAAAGCACTGAGAGGGTCATCGAAGATGTACACGTCGGCATTGGCGAAGACGGCTCGCGCAATGGAAATCCTCTGCTTCTGGCCTCCACTCACATTTACTCCTCTTTCGCCTATCTCGGTGAGGTCTCCCCCAGGCAACTGTTCCAGATCTTCCTCCAGAGCGCTCACCCTGATGGCTTCTGCGTATCGCTGAGGATGAAAGGGGAGGCCAAACAAGACATTCTCTCTCACTGTGGCATTGAAGATCCACGAGATCTGGCTCACGTAGGCAACAGAACCGTGGATTTTGACTAAGTCCACGCCTTGAGGAACGCTTGGGATTTCGCCCAGCATCGCAGAGACGAGGGAGGATTTCCCCTGCCCTGTGCTCCCCACAATAGCTACAAGCTGACCTGCAGGAATCTCAAGGTTGATGTCCTTGAGAGTGCAATGCAATGCCTTGACATCCCAAGCGAAATTGCCATTCTTAATGGTCACCGCAGGCTTGGAGGGGTCCGAGGGGAGGGGGGGGTCCAGCTGCCCCTCCTGCCCCACCAACATCTCCTGCACTCGGGCGAGCGACACCTTTGCCAGGATCACCTGATTGATGAGCTGAGGGAAAGTGATCAGCGGGTAGCGCAGCACTCCGAACAGCGCAATCGATGTGAAGGCACTGGCAGGGGTCAGAGTGTGGTTCAGCGCATAGACTCCAAAGGTCACCACCGACACAAGCACGGGGACTACGTTCAGAATGAGGAAGTTGAGCGCCATCAGGTACACAGAGCTTCTTAGCCATGACAGCTCGTCTTCACGAATGGCTTGGATCTTCGCGCTGAAGCTCTCTTCCCAAGCATAACACTTGACAATGTCCATTGACTTCAACACCTCCGTCGTCAGGCCTATCCGCTTGTCAGTCCGCTGCAGGACCCCCTTTGTGAGCAGCTGCACCTTGCGAACGATCAGCGCCTGCGAAGGGATAGTAAGCACCAGCAGAAGCAGACCGACCAGAGAGGCGTATCCCAGTTCTCTGTATAGAAGCACGATTGCGACCAGGATCCGAAGAGGGGCTGACCAGAGGAGATGCAGGTTCTGACAGACTTGCTGCAGAGATTCCACGTCGCTGCTGATCAGATTCGTGATGAACCCAGTGCTAACCTTTTCGCGCGCAGTGTGGCTCAGAGCCATGGATTTGCCAAAAATAGCCGCAATCAGGACCGCACGAAGGTGAAATGCCACTCGCATCACGGTCTGAAAGTATTGCCCCTCTCCAATGACCCCAATCATCATGGCAACGAAGATTGCACACGAGTAGAGGTATCCCTTCCACGCGGGCTCATTGTTCTGCATCGACTTAAGAAGCAAATTAAGGAAAACCGGCCCCGTGAACTGCGATGCGTCGTTGAATAACTTGCAAAACCCACCGAGCATGAAGCGGAAGCCAAAGCAGCGGACGAACGTCCGAAGGAGGCTGGGATTCCCTGCCGCCTTCTCCCTCTCCTCCCGCCATCGCTGCTCAAACATGCGAGCATTCACTTCCGATCGATCCCATTCATCCAGCTGCCACACATCGTCGTTCTTGATTGGTCGCTTGTACCCACTGCTCATCAAGGGGGTCATCCACATGAACAGCAGCCTAGATACAATATTAGACCTCCTCTCTGGGCAGATGTTCTCTCCTCCTCCTCCTCCTCCTCCTCCTCCTTCTCCACTGGAAAGCAACACATAGTCGTCGCCGGCACCAGTGATGCTGACGGAGGAGGAATCTGCTGCAACGTCGTCGTAGCCAGGCTGAGGGACCAGATCGGGATAGTAAAAGATGGCAAGACCGCCTTGAATGGCTTGAGCAGCAATAAAGCTCACAAAGAGGTAGAAGAAGTACCCATCATATCGTTCGAGAAGCAAGAGGACGAAGCGGAGCTTCGACAGCTGGCCCGCTAACATGAACAATAGGGCAAAGCGAAGGTACCAGTGGCCCTTGGGCACATAGCAATGAGCCAGCTCAAGGGCGTAAGTCACAGTGACCGTAAGCCAGGCAATGGAAGTGGAGACGATGGAGTAAATCTCAAAGGGAGCGAGAGGCATGTCGCCGCCGAAGTCCTGAAGAGAGATACGAGCGCTGAGCTGCAGGAGCGGCACAATGGCACAGTGAATGGAGCAGACAAGCGCCAGGAGGTGAAGAAAAGGATGTCGCAGCTTCATCTTCTTGCGGCGCGGATCGATCCCGTGACCACTGGAACAGATCAGGCGAATCCTGAGAGCACTCAGGACCACCATAACCAGGCATGCAGTTCCCAGGACCACGATCTCCGTGAAGCATGGGGTGAAAGGCCCCAGCTCGTTCTTCAGCGACGCCCATGTCCCGTTGAACAGGGGTCTGCAAAACGTGTTCACGAAGTGGAACGACCCTCCCTTCTCCTCCTCCTCCATCTTCGCAATCTCTCTCTCTCTCTCTCTCTCTCTCTCTCTCTCTCTCTCTCTCTCTCTCTCTCTCTCT